CTAGAGCCAATCTGAATTACATCAAGTGTAACAAAGATAGCAATAGTTAGCATCGTAGATAGGTTAACATTAATTTGTGCACGTTCCTGTATAAAGATGTTTGATGTAATTTGTGTATCAATTCATATACTTAATAAATTTTGCATCTAAGGCTCTTTTATGATTAAAAAAAAAAATAAATAAATATAAAGTAAAATATATATAAGTAACTTGAGAATAATTAAAAAGTAAAAAAAATTAGAATATATATTGTGTAACTATTATATAAAATAAATTGACTATTTCAAATAAAATAATAAACTTTTAGCTTAATATATAATGATTAAGAATTTTAACAATTCAATTTGATTCTTGATTCTGTAGTTTATATTAAATTTAATATAGGAGTTATAATTTATTATCATTTTTAATAATGTTTTGAACCTTATGCAAGTCTATACAAGTCTCTTAAATTCTAAGTTTTGGGACTACAATAATAATTATAAAATAACTTTTATAATAACATTGTTATTATATAACAAAATTTGATTTTGTACTATTTAATATAAATTAGTTATGTTATAATACAATACTGTTATTTATTATATAGTATATATAATTTATAATACTTATATTTTATTTTTATTATATAATTTATGCAATTATAATTATATTATTGTGATATTTATTGGAGATATACAGTTTTTAAAATTCTTTTATTATTTTAATTCACTTTTTATAATATAATTTGATATTTTATATTTATAAAATTTCAAATTTTATTAAATATTTTTTTATATTGCAGTATTAAATTTTTTCAAATTAGATTCATTAAATAATATCAGTTCTTATAAATTTATTTTTTAATTTATTTTTAAACATTTTCAATTAAATTGAGATTTAATAATTGTGTTGACTATTTCATATATACAATTTCAAGTTTTGACTTAAATTCTTTTACAAGTTTATACTTGTAAATTAACATATTATTTTTTAAATAAACAGTATCTAAAATAAGATTATTAAATTTTTTTTATTTATATGAGATAAAATGTAAACCAAGAAATATTGTTTATTTACATATTTTTTATTTATAATTAATTTTTATTCACTTATAATTATTGTTTATATAGACCTATGGATCTATAATATAGTGATGAATACTTCACAGGTCAAATTACAAGATATCAGTTTAATAACATATGAGGATAGTTGAATAAAATTAATACGATATATGGCATTATAACTTATAAAAACATTGTTTCTCATAAAAAGCCTTTTTATATATTAATTCAGCAGACATTGAGATTAAGAATTCTAATAATTCTCTTCAATTCTGTATTTTATTCTCAAGTTTATATTAAATTTAATAGATAGGACATACCCTACTATTATTTTTAATAGTGTTCCGAATCTTATGCAATTCCTTATGATGTTGTTTGATTCTAATTTTTAGAATAATAGTTGAGATTGTGATTTTCAGAAAAAATATCATGGCATGACAATCATCCAGTTGGTGTTACAATAATCATTGTAAGTTATAGAATATATAAATTGTCTGATTTCAGTAAGATGGCTTGGTAATTATTTCCTAGTGATATCTGATATTTTTTCCTGCAAGTTTTCAGAAAGGCCTTATTTAAATCTAATAATAGATTGCTTTGACAATTACTTATCTTGGAAAGGCAGCCAAAACAACAGTAAGTATTAATAGTTAAAATAATCTATAAGTAGTAAATTTGTGAAATAAGTTTTTTGAATGTTCTTGGATAGCTTTAGGAAGGTAAAAATTAAATAATATACTTATTTGCAGGTAGTTGAATTTAAAAGAATTTTCTCTGTAGAGGTTCTATTTGCCTAATAGGTACCACTTCCAGTTTTTCTCTTTATATTTTTTCTTAATACATTTCTAGTTAAAAATATAATCTTTTATATAATAGTAACACTAATGGAGCTTTAATATATTAGTCTTAATATATGTAGATCTCTGGATTTATAATTAATAACAACAAGCCAACATGGGAATAAAATCTGATATAGTTTAGCAATATCTAGAGTAATTCATAGGTAGCTTTCTTCTGTAATACATAATGTAAAGCATATGTAAATTAAATAAAAAAAATATATAGGCAAGGTTTAGTTAGTCAAATTAAAAAATAATAATAATTATTATTATTGTTTATATATTATTTAAATCATATAATTTACTTTTATAACATTAAGTTCGAATTTTTTTATTTGAATCAATACTTATAAAAAATTTATTTGTTTATATAATTTGTTATTAATTTTCTTTAATTCAGTTTTTATATGTTTTTATTCATTTTGATTATTTATATAATTTTTTTTACTAATTATTAATTTTTTTCATATAATATAAAATTAATTTTTTTAAAAAAAATTTTTTTATTAAAGTATATAAGAATATAGAAATTGGAGTTTTCTGTGAAATTTCATTAGCAAGCATATTTTTTGTTACTTTTTTTATTGACAGATTTGTCTTAATTTTGATATTTAAAATGATTATTAATTATTGATTTGCATCCATTATTACTTTTAAAATAATCAGTAGAATTTGTTAATTTCAATCTTTTAAGGCTGCTTTTAACTGCTGTTATGGATTATTTAATTATTTAAGATCGTGTTTGCTAGTCAAAAGATCCTTTTTTAAAATCATTTTTCATGTATAACATAAATTTTATTTTTATTTAAAAAATGATTAAGACAAAAGCAAAAACTTTTATTATTGCAAACAATTACAAAGACATGTATTCGATGCCTTATTATTATGATGTAAAATTTTCTTCTACATATAGTATATTAATTGCATAATCGTCTCAATTTTGTGTCACCCGTCTGTACGTGCATTGGCTGGTATAACACGTGATCCCAATTTTTGTGGCTTAGTCGTTTGACGATATATTGTAAACAATAGCGTGAAAATGCAATTGATTTCCGCATGTCTCAAGGCTCTTAGAAATATCGTGGTAAGACAACCACATTAGTCATTTCTTATGACAACGCTCGCGTAACCTGCCATTTGCAAAAATGTGTAGCCTTTTGGGAGTCCACGGATGAGCATTCACTAAGAGTTCCGATTAAAACAGACGATTTGGGAGATAAGGATACAGAGCACCGTAGGTATAAAGTCGAATTGGAAATCATTAAACATCACCATGGTGAAAATTCTGAAATCGGGGCAAAGGTGACAAGTTGGTTAAAACAATCCAAGGCAAGTGTACTCGTTTATTTGATTGGTTCGATGTGTGCGATACCAACTACCATGCTGGTTGCGACTGGTATCGGGAAAGGTTGCGACTTGTTGGTGTGCACATAAAAAATGATAAGAGTGTTGCTCTACATCGTTATCAACTACCGTGCTGGTTGCGACTGGTGACGGGAAAGGTTGCGACTTGTTGATGAGGGTATGTAGTACGCATATACACTTCAATGGACTACCATGCTGGTTGCGACTGGTATCGGGAAAGGTTGCGACTTGTCCATGATTTGCCTAGGTTTTTCTTTAGAATAAAGTAATCATTCTTTTCTAACTTAAAATATTTTTATAATAATGATAAATCATCGGATCAAGTAAACTATTTTTGGGATCTTCAAGTGAAAAGATAAAATGCTCTAGCGGAGATCAATTTGCTTGATGTGGGAAGTGATTTAAGTGCGAAGAGACAAGTAGACTATCCAATATTTTCGAAAATTGACTTTCTGTTTTGACAGCACTTTCTAATATTGTATGTAATCTGACGAAGGACGATCTGAGGTGTATTGAACAGGTTAGTATGTTGACTCGACATTTAATCACACCTATCTTGATTTTGCATACTAAAAGGTTCATTTTTAGACCCAACATGTTCTAGACGCGACAAGAGAAACCCGATCTCAAAGTTTCTTACTACAACAAACGATCACCAAAAGGCGCTTGTTGGATGAGTCTCGTGAGCGAAACTATAAGGAGTCAGGAAAAAAATGTAATGGTCAATTTTTCAAAGTCCATTAATTGCATGACCTTTTTTTGATTTGGCATATCATACTACTTTGTCTTGCTTGTATTTACGAACTTTATAAATTTATTTGATATACCGTCATAAACAAAAGCAACGTCAACTAGACACGGAAGAAATATCCCATATTATTGCGAATCTGATGTAGAAGAATGCTTAGATTCAGATTTAGAGAATTTAGAAGAATCTAAGGTTTCGTAATTATTTTTTTACCAAGTCATTTACTTATGAATCACCCAATTCTAAATCTTATTCTTGAAATCTATCAAGAATAAAAATGCAAGATCACTTGTCCGTGAGCACGTTATGCCCAACAGTTCGTTCAGTTACACACCTAATAAACCCGTTGAAGAATATTCTGCACGCATAATTTGTGATTTTAATATGACGATACAACTTGTATCGGAGAACAACCTTATGAAGAAGTTAAAAATATGCTCCAGATGGGAAACAAATTGGTTGTAAATGATTCAATAGTCAAAAAGCTTGAAAATATTTTTCAACCAGAATATTCTGAAATTTTTTGAAATCGAATCTAAAATAATTTCGGAGATAAATATTGAGGATATTAAAACAACCGATGAGAATAGGTTTATATTCTTTATACGATATGCGTTACTAGCTTTGTCTCGATGTTTAAGTATTTGATGCCAAAAGTTTTGGATCGAGATATGCTTGAACGATCCTACATCATTGAATGTCTGTCACCAATTCTCCACGCATTTCGCAATGCATTTCCTGATGTGGGCAGAAAAAGACGTGAGATAAATCAAAGAGGCAAACAACACGTTTATGAGTAATATTGGAGAATGAAAGACAGATTCACTCATTCTCAGGTTATCAGACGCAAGAGAACTGTTGAATGTTGAAGTATCTGGACCTTGTAGATTTACAAAAAAGCATACGGTTGGCGATATAAAAAAACTATTAGTGATGGCTATCTGCAGTCTGTGTCGACTCCTTGGCAACAATCTTGATTTCAACATAAAAGATGCCAAAGATGTTAAACTTATAATATCCAGGTTATAGGAGATCAAATTACATTGGTTGCTGTTTCTCTAGCAGACAAAAAAAAATGTTTGGCTGTTTAATTGGCCTGTTGTATAATTCCATTTTCGTTTGATGCGATCATGAAGATTTTAAGTTTTTTTGCAATTATTCGAAAAGAATTTGTAGATCAAAAAAATTATAAAGAAAAATTCATTCCTTTATTCCAGCTGGCAGATGTTCTGAAAGTGGTTACATCTACCAGGTGATGACATTTCATATGCAGACGAAATCTTTTTGTATTTGTCATTTGAATGAAAAATTTATGACTAGAAATTTGGTTATTCAAACATGTTAGTTATTGTTGCTGTGATACCTAACTATTAATAAAGTATTTTTTAATCTGCATGCAATCTTAATTGTATGATATATCGGAAAACTAAAAACATTGTATATTTCCTATATGCCCACATTTATTGAAGTTATTACACTTCGTTGGGATGCCTCTTCTCAAAACTTTAATGAGTCTCTGCCCTTATAGTCTATATTATATTTACCAGAAATGAGTACAAATTCCTTTCTCATCACAATCAAAGATAAAGAGAAGGAATTAGAAGTTTTAGGAACACGATTTAGTATATGAGATTTCTCTTACAGATCAAGGAAAGAAAACAGATAAAGCTTTAATAAAAGATCAAGCAAGTCCCATTCCCGATAATTCTATCTGTAATAATGCCACAAGCCACATTGTGATCGAATATATTAGTATCACACCAGAAAATTTGGGAAACCAAGCTAACGAAAATAATGAGAGTAATACCAATGAGGAGAATATAACGAAGGGGTCAAAGTTCACTAATTCTGATGATCAGACGAATAATATCATAAAAATCAATTCATCCAGACAACTATTCCCTAAAATTGACCGTGAGCACGATAAATTGCAGGATTTATTGCAAGAACTATTCACACTTATTAAAGGCGAAACCGATAAAGATAATGTAAATGAAGGTTCTAATGATTCGATGTCGCAGAGTTTAGTTTAGTGGAAAAACGTGTAATGAGGGCCAATCAGGATGAAATTTTGTATTTGTATCATTATGCAGAAGTATCAAAAATTAAGCAAGTTGTGACTTATAGTGCAGATACAATTTCAAAATTAACACGATTAAATTGTGACAGCTTGTTACAAAGTCACGTGACCTTACAATAGATTATTATTGAAGTAATGAGGCTTTGCCTCTATTTTTTAGAATCAGCATAAATTACAGAAAATTTGGCTAATAAAAATCAATGTCATCTTGGATAAGGTTATTACTGTAAAGCTCTAAATCCGCTTGATCTTATTGACCCAATCTCATTATATAAATCATTTGTTTTTCAAAGCAAGCTTTGACTAACTGACGAAAGTTGAATTCAAACTTCATTATAACTAACCCTTGAGTCATACATTTAGTATTATTTTTGCTGAAATGATCAAATCATTTCTCGAATGCTTCCCAAAATAGAAATAGTGATGAATAACTTCTTACGTTATTTTTTTACTAATTTCTTCAGTATTGATTATATTCCAGCACAAAGTTAGAACATTGGTCAAGTTCTTATTCGATTCAGATATTGGTTCAGTTGGCAAAGTTTTCCCTAAGATATCGGTTTTCAATTTTTTGATTAGTCATTGTAATATAGGAGAATTTTTCTTTGACTTTCTTACTAGGTAGTTATCTTTTGTTAAAGTCATCTCAGTGAAAATTTTGATGGATCTTTTGCGGGATCCTTCCACCATCGACTGACTATCCCGTGAGTCCTCTCCATTATCCGCATCCGACATTTCTTCATTAATAATTTCCTGAGAATGGATATTAAGTTTTTTATAAATTTCATCGCTACTGATGAGGTACTATATTCTGAATCCCGTCTATGATCTGTTTCGATTTCAGTGATTTCGGGAATGGTTTCGATGCTTTTTCCACAATCGAGGAAGAGACATTGACTTAGCTTTTATTTTTTAATCATATATATTATAAGTACAGTACATGTCAATTATTGCATCGGAGTTGCAAACTAAATTTGACATGTGATCGTGGATCACTATACAGTATTGTGTACTATTATGGGAAATATGTCAACTAGTCAAAATACCAAATCAATCCAAGACACTGCAACCACATCTTTTACATCAACTTCCAATGCCTTTGAGGCCGACGAACTGAAAAGATATCGCAAGTACTGGTGGAAAACTGGAAAATTGCACTCGAAGGCCAAGTGGGAAGAAGCAATGTAAGTTGTTTTATTATTTGCTTTAACAATTTGGCTATTTTACAAACTAATTAACTGCTAACTGTTGACCGTTGTTTATTGTCAAGTTTACCATATGAGCTTATTACTGAGGTATCTTATGATACTTATGTCGAACACACGGATAAATATAATATTCACGGCTGGTGGGAGTGGGATAATGGGACCGTCCGTGTCATTGAATTACCCACAAAATTTCACGAGCGTTGTGTTGGTGCCATAGTCCAGGAAGTTTTTTTAGCAACTGGTCGTATGAGGAGCACTAATTTCGGCATTCTTTATGATGGATCTACAAGTGAGTGTTGTTTGTTTCCTTTAATACTATTAGCGCTAGCTAAATTCACAATTATCCTTGGCAAAAGCAACGAAAACTCCTAGAACAAGAAAAGAAGCGAATGCATCATGGTTACCTGTATCGAAACATCGGTTGAATGGGGGCGGATGTGACCCAAGCGGTGTATGAAAAGTTATTGCTTCCTGATTTTATTCTTTAAGATTTTACAATATTAATATGACATTATTTTTAGTCTCAGCCATGGCCGAATATAGTAGTAGAGGTTGCATATTCACAATCTGAAATGAATGTCAAAAATAAAGTCGAGCAATATTGGCTTCAAGGTGGTCGAGCTCATGATGCTATCGCAATTAAAATAGAGGAGCCTATTGTACCAGCTACAAAGCCTTCAGTGATGACGGTAAGAAATGACAAGAATTCAAGTTCCGCACAATTTAGTAATGTCCTATTGCTTTAATGTTCTTAATAGGCTTGGCATTATTGCATAAATAATCGAACAGCTATCGGTGCATTAAATCCCACGATGGTATGTTTTATTTTTATATGATTTTAGCAAAAGTTAAATCTGTTTAAGGTATTCTTTTATTTAGTATGAATTTGGAACTGTTGGCCGTGGGGGAAATCAGATCAACCTGCAACCTGGGCAATGCGTTATTAACATTAAACTAGCATGCCTTTACCATGGGCTACCAGTTAATGTTATCAATCTGCCACCATCACCACCTTCTCAACTTCCTCCACCTAACCCCATTGCCACTGTACCTAACCACATTCCCATTGATCTTTATCATGCTCAGTTTGCTATATTAAATAATTAGATTCCAATACGCTGGGCAGCAAGGTTCACTTAGGTATACGTGAATAAAAAGTTACATTACATAGTCGTGTCACTGCAATTTACTGTAGCACTTAAGACACACTGCGCAAATCGTTTAATAAACAATAACTGATTTATATTACATTTTCAATTTCAAAAAAATACAATAATGTTCTTGCAATACATAATTATATACCAAGTCTATAGATATTACATAACTAAAATCCATCTGAACAATAAAAAATAGCTACTATTATATAATAAACAATATTCAAGAATTAATAGACAACTTAATACCTACTATAATATCAATCCTATTAATATCAATCCTTTACTACACAATTTCACTGTAGCAATATCAATGGCGAAATAAAGAATACAAAGTTAATTACACAAGTGGCATGAATATTATATTAATAAAATATTAATCCAATAATCTTAATATTTATTTTATACATTATTAAAACTGCTCAATGTTCATAAACATTATTACTTAATTGTCACTTAATTGTTATTTAATAGTCAAATAATTGTAACAAACCAATTATAGTAATGTTAACTATTATATTATTACATTTTATTGCTACTAAATTACTACTAAATTGCTACTGTATTGTTATTATATTGTTACTATATTGTTACTAAATTATATTTATATTGCCGAATATAAATACAAATTATATTATAACTGCTTTACTACTATTTAAATAACTTTTATACTACTATTATATTATCGTGAGAGAAGATTTGCATCATTACATAGACTGATGTCATGATGATTCAAAATATCTAAAATCTGTGATTTCTTCATTATAGTTGATTTATTTCTTATATGTCTTTTTTTGGTTATAGTGATTATAGTAGAATTAGTTAGAATAGTTAGAATAGTTGTTATAGTTGTTATAATTTTATTATGATAGTAGCATGTATATAAAGGAAAAACCAAATTAAAAATAAAAAGAAAACTTCTGCAAAAGAAACCAAGTGACAGTTTGAGTAGTTGTTTCACCATGAATGTGTATTGATGAATTGTGAATTTGTTTTGTAGAGTTTAAGGAAGAAACTCAGATCAAATTATTGTGTTTCAGCCTTAAAAACAATAGTAGTAAAAAAGGGTTTGGATAACCCCTTATATTATTATATTGTTGTAGAATAGTTATTACAATTGTAAATATTTTGTTTCTATTTACTACTATTACATTATATTATAGTAACAGAATAATATTTAAATTGCTACTGCTATACTATTATTTTTTAAAAAAATTTATACACCTATTATATTGGTACTATATTGTTACTATATTGTTATTATATTATTAAAAATGATACTTTCAGTAAAGTAAATAACAAAATTATTTAAAAAATTTCAATATAATCTTAATCTTCAAATTTGAATCTAATCTAATAATATCTTTTTGATTGATTTTTAATAATTATTAAAATATATTTTACTTCTCTTTATTATTATATATTGTTAACATGAAAACAACAAGTCTGTTGCTTATGGCAGATCAAACTTGTATAACATTAATGTAAATTATTCTTCTTTTCTTTACTTGAGATATGTATTAGATTTAGTCAATCTTGAAACTATAATTAACTCTTTTCTTTTACTCATTGTCTTCCCTGAATAGTTTGAGTCACTATTCTCTTTAATAATTTTCAAAACAATCTTCTTGTAATAACATTATTCTAAAAAGTTAAATTAATTAATCATTTCTTATTTTGGATACATCTATTATTACCACATATAACAATTTTTAATTAACACTCCAGTATCACATGACTATTTCAAGCTTCTTTTTTCAATAGAGAGAATGTTAATTAAAATTGTTATTTTTAAGATTGAGATTAAGATTTTTGCTTCAATTTTTTTTCTTTTCATATTTTTTCACTTCTATTTATATGTCTATCACTATTATAATATGTTATAAAACTATTTTGCTATGACTCATAAACTATTACACTACAGAAATAAACTATTTAAGCTTTTTACTACATAATTATACTATTTACTAAAACATTTTTATTGCTTCGATTAGATATGTTATGCAAATGTTATGTCATTGGGCCTTATTTAAGCAATTTTTCTGCTAATAATATTACTT